ATAAACAAAACATAAAGTGTTCATAACAAAAATCATATCAAAATCATATTGAAACCATATATTTTTGGTCATAAAAAATCCATAAATGAAAACCATAGTAGAATCATAGTGATTTCATAAAAATAATTATTTATGTTGAGGCCTTGTTTAGTATTCCCCAAACACTCAAGCCTAAGGCTCACGTGTCCTTACTTGGGTTTTGAACTCGGCGCCGAAGGCGGTTATCCTCGCTGAACTTCTGTCAGTCTGTGCAAGAGCTGTTGAAAACTGAGGACGCTATTCGGTCTCCCACCTGGCGACAAACCCAACTTGTCGAATTGTTCTTGTGACACGACACCAAAGGTGAGACGAGGGTGTTTGGGTCTTTCTGGCAACTCCCCACTGTTTACACGAAGATGCTTGCTTGATGCCGGAAGCTTGGCACCAAAGGCAGCTGAGCTGGAAAGCAAGGTTTTATGTTCCATCGGATAGGCATCAGCAAACGATTGATGCAGGTATAGACGCAGATGGAAGTGAAGGCTGCACGCAAATGCCACACAGCACCCACGCTATCCACAAGCCGCCTCCCATGGAGACGAGCATCCAGCCCAGCAAGTCCATAAAGCCCCTCTGCAAAAGATTTTACCAGAACCACATCGGCCCGCTCCATGTCTTTGACTTGTATATACCTTTTGTAAACGGGAACCGCAACATCCTGGCCGGCTGGCAAGATAGACACACTCTCCCAGAGGGGGTGCCGGACTGGCCGTGGGGGCTGCCGCCAGGGCCTTGGCCCTGTAGACTCCGCCTCTTGAGTCCACATATGAAATCAAAGTCCCTGCAGGCGTAGCACTTGCGATCTCTTTTCTCTTCGCCGCAAGCCTGTCGTTCTTTGCAATGATATCTGCCGCCGCATCCAGAGAGCCTTCAGCATTCGCTGCCCGAGAGACTTCAGCCTGCGTCTTGGCCTTCTTGGCTGGCCTCTCAGTCTCGGCCTCGTCGTTGTCTGCCTGTCTTTTCCTTGGATTACTATGAAGTTCTCAAGTCCCTGAACCTATTGAAACCACTCAAATGCCAAAAGAAAACCGTGCTCCCAACACCCATCTGAAAAGTTGCGAACTGCTGCTGGCAGCAGCAGCTGCCTCCCGAGCTGCAGCAACCTCTCGCTGCGCGTCCACCAGAGGTTGCCACGAAGAAGAAGATGCCTCACGACTGACCGCTGAAGCAACTGCTGCAGCATGTTCTCTTGCTCGTTCCTCAGCGTTGCTCGCTCAGAAGTCTTCGCACGCACACACCCAAGTCCAGGTTTCTCTGATGTTCTGTGCGGCCCGCTTTGGGTCTCAAGGGATCTCGCTGGCATGGCCTTTTGGCCATAGAAACTTCTATACGCTTGTTGCACGGCCTGGCCATAAAGAGATGCCTTGTACCGCACAGATGCGCGTTCTCGCTGCAAGGAAAGGTGCGGCGATTCGAAAAGTTCCTCAGGCTTGAACACTTTGGGAAGTCTGGCTCCACGAAGTGACTGAAGATTGAGTTTGCAGGCCGATTCAAGGTTGTGGTCAGTAAGATGTTGCTGACGGTTTTTCCGTTCAGTCATCTCCACTTCACCCAAGAACCGTTCCACGGATTGCGTGCCCGTCTGAATGCACAATGCTTTCTGCACAATCATGACTGCATGCTTGCGGGCTTCACGCTGTGGCTGGCTCAGCTCTGCAAGCGTTTGCAGCCAACCACACACGCCTTTATCCTGATGTGTCGTCCGCTCCAACCGGCTTGGACCAATTGCAGATGCTGCATTCTTGTGCAATGACGGATTGTCCAAGTACCAGAACGCTCGGGCGTACAACCCCAGCTTTGGTGCACCCGCCAACTGAAGCCTCAGAGACAAACATCTTGTTATTACTATGCCTCCTACTTGCCAGGCCACCACATGGCGCCCAAGCACACTCCTAAGGAGTCTAGACCCCTGAACTGGCCCTAAAAGCCAAAGGTCTATCAAGGCCTGAACTCACCTTCACAAACCCCTAAAAGCCAAAAGGTCTATCAAGCCTGGAATGGGGACTGTGAAAGGGTGTGAGCGACATGGGGGCTGAAGTGCATCATTGAATAATCTGACTGAAAAGCCTCCTGAAAGCTGAATTTCAATCATGTCTGTGAACCATTCATCCGAATATGGATAACCCAGGATGACCCGCCAACCCCGTCGCCTTAAAAGCAAGATGCAGCGGTCGAAAAGCACGCCGCTCATGCTCCATGTGGGCACAATCGATCAGAACATCTCAAGGCAAGCTGCGATCTGAAACCCCTCTCGAACTCCATTGTTTTGAAAAATATGAACCCTGTACACCGTGAATGGACAGAGGGTTCCGGGGAAGGTGAAGCCCGAGGTGAAGCGCTGAACCCAGTCTACAAGACCAATCCAATTTCATAGGATACCGAACGAACCTTGTACCTTTTATCCTTTATTAATCCTAGACTTCACCCCCGAATGAACCCTTAAATTGAAAGCGCCGAATTCAATCGAGTAATGTGCTGGCACGGTGCATAACAAGCGGCGGCCGCGGTCAATGATGCCTCGAGCCTCAGAGGGCCGAGTTTCTGTTTAGGGTTTACGCTCTCACAACTCGGACAATGCCAGGCGAGGTTCGTAGGTGCGGAGTAGGGTTTAGGGTTTGGGGCCTTTCACGTCTCCCCTCCAATCAACAACCTGCTGGAGGTGAGTAGCCTTACAATGTGAGCTCAGGGAGTCAGACACCTCAAGGCCAAAAGTGCAAAGAGTACCCGAAATTTTAAACCCTAAACCTCAACCACAAACCCAGAACCCGAATCCGTGATTCTCACCTGTCACACCTTCCAAACCCCACCATGCAGGCCGCTCAGACTCGGACACTCATTCTCGGACAAGCCAGGGCCTTAGAGTTTAAGGTTTTAGGGTAGCAAGGCTTACAGTTTAGGGTTTGGGGTAGTGGGGCTAGTAGGGCTTAGAGTTTAGGGTTTAGGGTAGCTTAGGGTTTGTTTATGTAATACATCTAGATATTTCATGCGGCGCACTAGCAGCCGCCCTACACTACACCCCAGCCTACCTGCCCCACACTACTTCCTAGCTGCTCTTACCCTACCTGTCTACGCGGCGCACTAACAGCCGCCCTACCTGGAAAACTACCTGCCCTACGCGGCGCACTAGCAGCCGCCCTACTTCCTAGCCTGCTACCTGCCCTAGCCTACCTATACCTACCCTACACTACGTGGCCTATGCGGCGCACTAGCAGCCGACACCTATCCTACATTTGTTAATACATGGTTTGCCTACGCGGCGCACTAGCACCCGCCACTTACCCTAGACTACGGGGTTTGCCTACCTACACTACGTGGTTTGCCTATGCGGCACTACCAGACGCTACCTACACTTTGATTTGCCTATGCGGCGCACTACCAGCCGCTTACCTTAGGGTTTACGGGTTTGGGGTTTAGGGATGAGGTTAAGCCGAGCTGCTGTCGAAGGCGCCATCGGAACCGGCACTGATAGTGCGAATGATCCTTGTTAAGATTTACGCCTGGCAAAGTGCTATGGTTTAGGGTTTAGGGTGAGGCTGCGTAGGGATTTATAAAGCCTAACACGGATTTTAGTTTTCGGGAGCTTACAAGTATCTTCAATAAGAGTTTTGGGGGCTTAGGGTTGCAGTACATGCCTTGGAGCCAAAGATGCGAACCTACATACATGCCCTAGTAGATAAAGGCCTACAAGTTACACAAAAGTTATAAAGTTATAAAGTGGCCGCAAAGAGCGGACAAGTATAGATCATTGTAGAGGTTAGGTGAAGTCTAGCATCTTAATGGGTTTATAGGGTGTAAGGCCGAGGGGTTTAGCTACGGTATCAGGTTTCAGGGTTCGGATAAGGAAACTACTTGAGCCGTTGTTGCAGGTTTGAGCTTAAAGCTCGTGTCAGGGACGGCAGGTATGTCAAGCCTTAGCAGGTGTCTGGGGAGTGTATGGGTTTTCGGGGAAGTGGTCTCGTTTTGGTCACACGACCTGGACAAACATTGGAAAAATCGAGTTTTAGAGTTTCGAACTTATGTAACTAGAAAATTTGAATTGTCGAATTTCGATTTTGCGAACTTTTATTTTCGAGTTTTCAGCGAACTCAGAAGTTTTAATGTTTGCATGTGCGAATCAAGCGAGGTCTTCAAACACCCGAACTTTGGATTTTCGAGTCTTTCGAAGATCTACAACTTTTTGTAAGTTCTTATTTTCGAGTTTTCGATTGCTCGTCGCGTGACGCCCAAAGCTGGGGCTTAGTAAGAACCCTAAACCTAAGCCCTAGGAACCGAAATCCTAAGCCTCAGCCTTAGAAGCCCAAACCCTACGCCAGCCTAAGCCCCTGGAACCCGAAACCTTTAGGCTAGAACCCGAAACCCGGCGCCCGAGAACCCTGAACCCTACGTCCTAGAACAGAATCGGAAAGCAGCAGTCAATCAGGCAGTGCTCAAATCCCGTGGCTGAAACTAACATGGCTGCCCACTCAAACAAAGCCTCTGGGCAATGAAGTTCCGCCCAAAAACTGGATCAAAATGAGAGTGTAACAACACAAGCCATTTTGCGGGCGTTTCCGTCCGTCATGCCTATCCTCAATCTTATCACTCGTTGGTGCTGCTCCAACCTCTTCTGGAGAGCTTGCTGAAGGTGGGAGCCCGCTCCCTCCGCGGCTATAGCCATTGACTGCGTGCTCCGTCGGAGCCATGTGGCTTGGGTGCACGTCAAGTGTCAAGCTCATTACGTCAAGTTGTTGTTGAGTGCTCCAGGTCCAACTTCGTGTTCGAGAACTCCAGCTACGAACCGCTGCAATTTCTGACTGCATTTCTATCGTTTACCGTCTGTCATGATCAGTGATGCTTGAGGAAACTTGAGGGCGTGACGGACTGCTTGTCTGCATGTTCGAAGGCACTATCACGCGGCAGAGTCACAATAAATTTGAAGAACGAGCTCCGCATTTCTCCTTTGCAGGTGCTGGTGCAGGAGCATGTCAACCAGTGGCCTGCTGGTTTGGCACGTCTGCTGACGTGTTCCGCCACATGTAAATGAAGAATGTGCCGTAAATGGCCGCCAGCACCTAGCGCAATCATTGTGGAAGCCCGAACCGAAACAATGCTGCGTGTCTGCGATAAACGAAGGCACAACTCCCCAGAGTGGACTTCGCACATGCAGGTCCACCACGCTGAACGTCGCTTGCATGGCCACCTGGTTTCATCGCGGCCCCGAAAGCCGCAGAACTGCTAAACATGTTTGGGATCTTCTGAAACTTCTTACGAGTGTTTGATTTGGGCTTACGGCCCACTTCGTGCATTCCGGTCAAGGAAAGAATGTAGCACAGGAAACAGCTATAAGATCGGCCGTCCAACGGAATGCTCGTTCTCTATGACTACCTCCTCATCGTGATGACTGCAGGCTACAGACACTGTTGCTCTTCGAGTCTGACAAGACACAGGGGCAATCGTGCAAGCGAAAGCTCATCTCAGCTCCCTGCGACGAGCAGCATCGAGATTGTGCATGCCTCAGCCCAGGTCTGCTGCCGGCTCCGTGCAAAAGCGATTGGCCTCGTGAGGGTAGCACCAGCAGTGGATGACTGATGTCTGAAGGCCATCCGTTTGCAAAGAGCGTTATTTGTGGATGTCTCCACGTGACAGTCATCAGCGCAGTGCTGAATCCCACCTCGGCTCAGAGACATGGCATGTATCTCGAGCCTCTGATACACTCAAGTGCTGAACGCACACCATGTGGCCACTATTCGACGTGCGACAGTCACCAGAAGGAAACAGCTTTCCGAGTCTGAGAACGTTCCAAGGCATGACAATTGGGGCGAGCCAGCGACAAGTTCCGCATCAACAAAAATAGAGGAGCGAAACTCCAGTTGAGGTCAATTTATCTGACGAGTCTCAATCGGATTCGATGCTGACAAGGTGCAGCAGTATTGAAGAATTGCCCTGCGACAAGCCCTTGGCTGCCACAGCGAAAGACCTCTCTCACTCCGAAGTCCACGCTACTTCTGCTTAGGCAGCGGGACCCATGCTTGGACATGCTGCGACTGTTTCGGGATCTATGCATGAAAGGGCACCATTGAAGGCGAGTGAAAACTCTCCCATTAGCGAGATGGAGTAAGCCGCCACAAGGTCGCCAGCGCAATTACCTCTCACATAGAACAAAGTTGAGACCCCAGGACGGAAGGACAACAAAGAGTGATCGTTGATGCTCCGATGAAGTAACTTCGCTTTGGTTTGCAGCTCGGGCACCCCATGCAAGGAGCGTAAATCCAGATCGTAGTCTTGAAATCTTGTAGAAACGGCACAGACCCTCAAGGGAGGCCGTGATCTCCTGAAGCAGAAGACAAGTGAGTTCTAGGTTTTGTAGTGCTGTAGTGTCATCTTTCGTGCAAGCCCCCACAGACGATGGACTGCTGAGCTAATGCGTCTTTGGTGGCTGGAGGGTGTGAAATTCAAGATAACTAAAGCACAGAGTCATCTGAGAGTGCGGAAAGCCAAAGCATTGAGGACACCTCGTGGGCCATCATCGTCTGCATTGTGCGCTCATGATACGTCACGACGGACAGCGCTTGTCGCAGGGCATTTCTTCGTTTTTGCCGCCATGTTGCCAGAGCGAGCAACGTCATCCCGTTATAGAACCACGGCAGTGGACGTCCTGAAATCTTTGCCAAAGAGGAGGTCCCGCCCGTCAGAAAGATCAAAACCTTCGTCTACGGGACATCCGCGGCGTGGTGAGCTGGAGCAAAATCGATCCGACTGCACTGGATTCACGTTGGCAGCTTAGACCGCAACTGTCGTAACCGCGAGCGCCACCGCAGTGGCCACCTAAGTAAAAGCCATGTGATCCTTCACGTGAGGCCTTGTATGGGCAAACACGCTACGTCTCAGGCAAGTATAGACAAGTGTCCCCAGCATTGAAGTCCGGTGCAGCAATGTAGCCCAAGAGCCGGCATAGTAGATATAGTCCTGCTCTACGGAGCTGCTCTGGTTTGGAGTCCTGCCCGGCCCGGCCTGTCGGACACATAGTGTGGAAAACACGCCGGGGTGTATCCCAGCGCAAGTCGCACGGAGGAATGGTCACCATGCGCATTAACTTGGTGGGACAGTCGTCAGGAAGCAACGGAGTCAGCAAGTATTGCCAATACCTGCTTGGGAGCCGGCCGTAAACGGCAGAAGCCTGATTTTGCAGAACTTGTTCACAGCACCAGAAGTGCCCGAACATGACTGAATGCCAAGCAGCAAAGCCCAGACTACTGATCCTCGCCAATTCGAATCTGGTGGACCTGGGTTGCTTTTTTGACTCTATGAGCCTTTCCGAACTGATTTGCAACTGCAAATCTTGACTCGAGCTTGGTCACTAAGGCAGGCCATTGCATCCTCGATGGCAATGTCGGTAGAGCCTCAGTGCCGACGTGTCTCTTCTATTGTGTTCGACTTACCTCGTTCACATTTCAATTCAGTGGCTGTTCCTTCGGCGAATCCTTGGCTGAACGCTGTATCAGGATGGGGAGCTCTGCACAAACACGTGCCAAAAAGGATCGATCTGCTCATTCCGTGCGCATCTTCGGCTTCCTGCTCAACGAAGTCGTTTGCTGTGATTGCAACTTATTAGGTGCTTTCTTGCATCTGAAGGACTTGCATGAGCTTTCCCAGCCTCCATTTTGTTTCGCACAAGCAAATACAGCAAAAATGCCTTGGCTTCACTTCGGCAGCGAGGACTTCGCGCGAGAAGTACGTTCGATGATGCTGATTGCATCCGGGAAACGGCGTACAAAGCTGTGAGAGCACAGAAATGCCAGAAGTTGGCAGTAGCCTTCTGGAGGCTGAGGGCCAGCAATACCTCGAATTCGAATCTGAAGACAGAAGGAGAACTGTGTTGAGACTGTCCTGGTGCTCCAGTTAGCTGTTTTGGTCATGTTGCCCTGCTTGACCGGCAGACCATCCCGGAGCATTGAGCAATCTTTTTCGTTTCTGGGCCCCTGCCCTGCCGGCTGTGCTGGACAGCAAGCCGCTGCACTGGATGGCCCGAGACCCTGAAAGGGGGACATGGGAAAGCCCTACAACCTGCTTGGCGGTGGTTGGAACGCTCTTGGCTTCCAGAAGGATGGCGAGCAAGCCCCGAGGTGATTGTCTATAAAGACTTTGATACATAAACACCAGCCCGCACTTTGTACTTGGGCAAGTCTTGCACCCCAGAGGGAGTCATCGTGGGCAAATTCTGAACCTGGCAATGAAACATGATGAGCGAAAGCACTCAGCCGTTGAACTCGGCGAGGATAGTGCGAGCAGGACTGAGAAGTGAGAGCCCTCAATCGCAAACTAGTGATGGTGCAACGATTACGGCGGCCGAGCCCGAGATCCATATGCTGATTGCAAAACTCCGTTTCGGAGGAAAACAGAGATCACAAGGCTGTAGTCAAAGTCTCTTGTGTCTTGTGTACTGAGTTAGTCGTGCAGACATCTCGAAGAACGGGGCTTCGGATGTTGAGTTTTCAACATCAGTTTCCCCAAACTTCCGAATTTCTGGACAATTTCCCTTAACCTTGCCAGGGGTGTTCTGACTTGGGACAGTAGTTGGCAGTGTTCCCAAACAGCCGGTGCCCTGAAACTCTGAAACGTAAGACAATGGGCGTCACCGCACTATGTATCCTTCGTTCCCTTCGGGTCATACACTTGGCTACCCGGAGACTTATTGGCAGGTCTGATAGATCTGCAAGGTTACCAGTTTTCATGCCGGGCGAGAGCAAGCAATGCCTGAGCTCGCTGCAATAGCACTGCCGTAGAAAGCTAGCAGCACCAGGTAGTGTCCTGATGATGCGGCTTGCAAACTGTGGTTGGTCCCATCCATCTAATGCGACCTGATCTTTGGCGCGTGCAGCTGTTACTGATCGCAGATCCAACTGTGTATTCTCCATCCAGGTATATGCGACTCTTCTGGAACAACGACAACAAAAACTCTGCCTCACTCTGCAAACACGAACAAAGCATCATCAACTGCGAGCAAACAGCTTGCCTGGATGTTGCAATACGGTGGACTTCGAATCTGGATCCGCCATGTATGCGACGAGCAAGCAAACGCAGTTGCCAAGGCTCATGCAGCCTCGATATCCCAAGTATAGCAGCAAACTCATAGTATCTCAATATTGGTGTCACTACGGTCTCCAACATCCCCCATTCATAGCAAGTCACAGAGATTCGCACCGCCCAGATCACTCAATCCCAGCGGCAGGTCTTGCAGTTGTGCAGCAGCCACAGCCTGAAAGCTCTCCGATTCAGGGGGCTTTCCGCTCGAAATAGCCAGACACCAAGGACCAAGAAACATCGGCCATGTCAGGTGCACCATTGCCGACTGCCTGGCAAGCAAAGCGAATTTCTGAACAGCAGTGGAAGCAAATGAACTACGAAGACTTCTGTCTCGTGGATCAGGAGCTTGGAAATTCGGCTCCCAGTCTCTCAATTCATGAGATCTCGGCCCTCAAACCACTCCCAGACGGCTAGAAGCAGCGGGCCAGCAGCGTTGCAGCTGCCATTTCGGACGACAAGTTCAATCGCTTGCTCCAGTAGAACCTGACACCAGTGCGCAACGATGGCAAGCTTCATCTGGACGAAAAAGGTTTAGTTTAGGGTATCCTCAAACTGAGCCATGGCCAATTTTCGCAATCAAGGGAGCAGAATGATACTGCGATCATAAGAGACTCCGATGCAAGGATTTGTCCAAG